TAGAAAAGAAGAAGAAGAAAAAAAAAAATTATGTATATATATATATAGCAGGGCAAAAAAGTATTTAGTCAGCCACCGATTGTGCAAGTTCTCCCACTTAAAATAATGACAGAGGTCTGTAACTTTCATCACAGGTACACTTCAACTGTGAGAGACAGAATGTGAAAAAAAATCCAGGAATTCACATTTAAGGATTTTTAAAGAATTTATTTGTAAATTATGGTGGAAAATAAGTATTTGGTCAATAACACAAATTCAACTCAATGGGAGGAGGTTTTGGCTCAAAATCTCACGATACATGGCCCCATTCATTCTTTCCTTAACACGGATCAGACGTCCTGTCCCCTTAGCAGAAAAACAGCCCCAAAGCATGATGTTTCCACCCCCATGCTTCACAGTAGGTATGGTGTTCTTGGGATGCAACTCAGTATTCTTCTTCCTCCAAACACGACGAGTTGAGTTTATACCAAACAGTTCTACTTTGGTTTCATCTGACCACATGACATTCTCCCAATCCTCTGCTGTATCATCCATGTGCTCTCTGGCAAACTTCAGACGGGCCTGGACATGCACTGGCTTCAGCAGGGTCCCAGCTCTCTGCAGGTCATTCACCAGGTCCCCCGTGTGGTTCTGGGATTATTGATCACCGTTCTCATGATCATTTTGACCCCAAGGGATGAGATCTTGTGTGGAGCCCCAGATCGAGGGAGATTATCAGTGGTCTTGTATGTCTTCCATTTTCTGATAATTGCTCCCACAGTTGATTTGTTCACACCAAGCTGCTTGCCTTTTGTAGATTCACTCTTCCCAGTCTGGTGCAGGTCTACAGTTCTTTTCCTGGTGTCCTTCGACAGCTCTTTGGCCTTAGCCATAGTGGAGTTTGGAGTCTGACTGTTTGAGGCTGTGGACAGGTGTCTTTTATACAGATACCGAGTTCAAACAGGTGCCATTAATACAGGTAACAAGTGGAGGACGAGGAGAAGAGCTTCTTAAAGAAGAAGTTACAGGTCTGTGAGAGCCAGAGATATTCCTTGTTTGAAGTGACCAAATACTTATTTTCCACCATAATTTACAAATAAATTCTTTATAAGTCCTATGATGTGAATTCCTGATTTTTTTTTTCACATTCTGTCTCTCACAGTTGAAGTGTACCTATGATGAAAATTACAGACCTCTGTCATTATTTTAAGTGGGAGAACTTGCACAATCGGTGGCTGACTAAATACGTTTTTGCCCCACTGTATATATATATGTATAAAATAAAATTCAATTAGACTACATTTATATACCAAAAAATTTGATAAAATAATATCCATCCATCCATCCATCCATCTTCTTCCCCTTAATCCATTTCTGGGTCAGGGGGGTGGCAGTCAGAGCTGCACCCAGTTCACAGAGCACCAGCCCCTCACTGATCCTCCTGCAGGTGGTGAGTCCACAGGAGCTGAGATCTTTCAGCAGGGGCTTCAGGCAAAGTGGGGTTAAGTGTCTTGCCCAAGGACACAACGACAGCAGTCATCAGTGGGAGTCATGAAGTAGGTCTTATGGTGGGCTCGAACCCACGACCTTCAGGCCTAAAGGCCAGTGCTCTACCAACTGAGCTACTCTCGCCCCATAAATAAATGATAAAATAATAAACCTATCCAAACAAGCTTATTTGCTATTGCAGTTATTATTATTGTGGTTGTACGTTATTGCTATTATCATTATTATTATCATTATTACTGTTGTTATAATTACTGTATCTATCATTATTATTATGTATATATTTATTATGATTATATTATTTGTTTGTGTGTATATATGTGTATATACATGAATATATACGTGAGTATGTAAATATGTATGTCTATATACACTTTGTCTTTCCCTTTCCCCCTCTTCTGTACATAAGAAAAGATCATTTCTATCTACCTACAAATTGGCAAAGTGGCAAGAGCTCTGGTGTGTGTCGTCTGGTGCACACTGGGGTAGTCTTGCACAGTTTTTCCTATGTGGTTTTACTGCAAATGGCAAATAAATGAATCTGGATCAGATCAGATCAGATCTGAGTCGTCATGAGCCACATTCACTCTCACACACGCACTCACACACACACACACACACACACTCACACACACACACACTCACACACTCACACACGTCCTCAGACACACACTCACACACACACGTACGTGCAACGATTGCTTTTTTCTCTCTCTTGTTGTCACTGACCTCTCTCTCCCCTCTTTGTGCTGGTCCTCCACTTATATTGTAAATATCACTGAAACTAATCACCTATGTGAATATTCACTTTGTTGTCTGTGTTTACTTCTTGTTTGTCGTGTTGTCTTTGTTTTGTATGTCTATTTTCCTCAATAAAAAAAATTAAAAAAAAGAATTACACAGGGCTTCTGGCCCTAGGCTAATTTGCAGCCTCTGTCCCTGGTTAAGGCAAAAGTCTTGTTTTAATTCAATCCAAATGTCCCTCACTTTTATTTTTTTTTTGTGTTACTTATTTAATTTTTGCTCACTTTTTGCAGTCAAGTTCCTGGCTCCAAAACATGTGACTTAAAAGTGCTGTTGCTGTTTATTGCTATCATTTGCTACTTTTAAAATCATGTATTTATTTGTTTTGTTTGTACAGGTGGGTTTCTGCTGCAAGTAAGTCTCTATCCGTCTATTTATCCCTAAAACTGTTTGGTTCTATCACATTTTCAGATCATTCTCCCTCAATCTGCTCTCAGAGTCAAATAGTGACTCACAGGGCTCTCTCATACGATACACTTTTTTTCTTTTTAAGTAGAGAAACAAACAATAAAACACATCTATAGTTTCTGGCTTCAAAACAGTTTGGTTTGTGTAGTTTTTTACATTTTCAACCTCTGTCACATCTTCAAATCACCGGCACTTAATCAGCTCTTGGCCCAAAGTGTGAAAAAGTGACTCACAGGGCTCTGTTTAATACATGCAAGGTGAAAGTTGTGGTCTGATTTGTTCGCTGTTACTTTTACTCTTTCTGTTGGGACAAACCTCATGTATATTTTAGGAAAGTAAAGAGTTGGATATCTCTTCTTTTTTTTCTTACAAAAAAAAACAGACAAGCAAATTTAGATGGAAGAAACTGGGATCAGGATCTACAATGCAAATAAATGAGTCTGGCTTTGGATGGATTTGTCTGTCTGGCTTCTTGGGTCATTATGTAAGTAAGTAAGTAAGTAATGTTTATTTATTCACATTTTACAGACCAAGGTCACCCAAAGCGCTTTACAATGTTCAGAGTTCAGATATTGTTCCAATCATTCCACACACGGTGATGATAGAAGCGAGTCCAGAACACACTGGACCATCAGCTCCAATCAACACCATCCATTCACTCTCTCATTTACATTCATACCTATTGTGCATGTTTTTAGTGGTAGGGGAAAACGGAGAACCCGGAGGAAACCTACACAGACACAGGGAGAACATGCAAACTCCACTCAGAAAGGCCCTGTTCCGACCGGAATTCGAACCCAGGACCTTCTTGCTGAGAAGCGAGAGTGCAATCCACTCAGCCACTGTGCTGCCCATTTTACACAAACAAGATCTTGGCTCCAATTTAGTTCTATCACTAGTTTTCACATTTTCAGTCAGCTCTCAGCCTAAACAGTCAAATAATGACTCATGTAGCTCTGTCTCAGTACATGCAAGGTACAGGTTGTGGTCTGATTAGTTCACAACATAAGATAAGCATCCCACAATGTTGGCCTTTCAAAAACCTAAGGTGCAATATTTTATGACACTTTCCCAACGCCTAAAGTACACTCTGTTATCGTATTTACCCAAAGCCTAAACTGCACTTTCCCAACTCATGACATGTCACTTTTAAGTCTCTTTCTGTTGGGATGTACATGTATAATGATAATAATACATGTATAATGGAGGGAAGTAAAAAGTTATGTCCCTCAGAGGTTGCTGATGCTAGCCTGGATGGAGCTAAAAACAACTCCAGGGATGTTTTTGATGTTGAACAATGATCAGTGAAAAAAAAAAAAAGTGTATATAAAGTAGTACGTTTGACTTGTCTTTCAAAACATCGACAGAAACCATTATATTATTTTAATGTAATTGATTTTTGTATTGCCCTAAATCAGTAGTAGTTATCTCAGATTAATTTGCAAAACCGTGAAATTTGCCAAAACAGGTCAGAGAATCAAACAGTGAAACCACAAGAAATGCAATGGTTAAAACCCTTACAATAATTGGTCCAAAAGGGGCAGATAACCAATGTCCATGAATGTTGAATGCCCATAAAAATTGTAAATGATTAAAATCCATATAACATTTTAAATAGAAAAAATAAATGACCAGGCAAATTCAGCCAATCAGCTCTCAGCCTAAAGAGTAACTAAAGCCCAGATTATTTTAAGTGCAAAATATGTCCATCCATCCATCCATTTTCTTCCCCTGAATCCATTTCTGGGTCGGGGGGTGGCCAGAGATGCCACCCAGTCCACAGAGCACCAGCCCCTCACTGATCCTCCTGCAGGTGGTGAGTCCACAGGAGCTGAGATCTTTCAGCAGGGGCTTCAGGCAAAGTGGGGTTAAGTGTCTTGCCCAAGGACACAACGACAGCAGTCATCCGTGGGAGTCGTGAAGTAGGTCTTACGCTGGGCTCGAACCCACGACCTTCAGGCTCAAAGACCAATGCTCTACCAACTGAGCTACTGTCGCTGCAAAATATGTAATACTTTCTAATCCTAGACAGACAGCGTGTTTTGGCCAGTTTATTATCTAGCGCAGTTCATACACATGACAACTGTGCGCAACACAACAAGAACAAAATACATCACACACGGCATTAAAACCAACAAGAGTGACGATACAAAAACGTTATTTGAGACCAGAACCTTGCTTCCCACCGGTTCTTTCTGTAGCAACGCGCGATACTCTGTTGAAATTAGAAACTCGTGCTGCATTTCCCTGTTTGTAAACCCCAACCACCATCTCTTGCCTCCCCCCCTCCCCTCCCCTCCTACCGCTGCTGCTGAGCTGTTTGTTTAGGAATCCGGGGAATCCAAAATTGTATTCCATCGACCATGCGCGCTATCAACACACAATTATCTGGCTTAATCATGCGGAACGGCGGCCAATCCACCCGGGGCTCAGGAACTAATGACATTGGCGCAGGACGCTTCAGAGGGGACGGGGGTACCTGCACCAGTGGAGGAGGAGGAGGAGGAGGAGGAGGGAGGAAGAGGAGGAGAGATTGCCAGAGAAATTTTGGTCTCATTTCATTTCACCCTCCCCTGAAAGATCATGTTTATTCTCAAATTCGCTCTTGTTTGAATAGGAAATATTGGGTAAAACACTATTATGGGGTCTGATTTTGTTTCTTTTTTTACTCACTGTGTTGAAATGCCAATCTAATGTTTATCAAAAAACACTACGCCCCGGACTTCGATATTGAAGCTACAAAGCCATAGAAGCCTATATTAACTCATACTTTTAATGTCTACATGTTTTTAAAATTGTTTCAACTACCCATGTAATACCCTTGCCTACACCTCGTACCCCCAGTTGAGAAACGCTCATCTATATTATCTATATGCACTGTACGTTTTAACATGTATACGTCTGTTACGAGACAAAGTCATTGGCCACTGCTAGGGGCACTCATTAGATTAGATTAGACTTTATTTGTACACATGCATAATGAAATTAAAAGCAACTCCACCAGTGCTGGAATGTACACACAGAATAAGTTAGCAGACATACACAGAAATAAATTAAAAACATTGAAGTGCACAGTTGCATCTGATGCTCAGGAGTTATAAATATAATATAAAAGATACAAAAATTCAGTTCAATAGCATTACAGCTTTTGGAGAAAAGCTGTTTTTCAGTCTATTTGTCCTTGCAAAAGGTCTTTGTGTCTACTGTTTTTTGAAATATTTTAACTTCAATTTAGAACTGACAACAAAGCACAAATGCCCACCGTCCCAGGTGTGTTATATTCTAACAAATGTTAAAATCCTTTCACTGGCTTTGAGTCCAGAGGTGTGCTGTTAATTTATAGCATCTTAGACAAAGTGGAAATCAAACCTCTATGTGACAGGAATACATCTTGCTGTTTTACTGCTATTTATAACAAATAAACTGCATCACAACATTTCACAAACTATTTACTTGTGCTTCTGGATATAAAGTGCAAATCTGCGATGTTTCAGTAACAAACGAAGTTCATCTTCTTCACACAGTCGTGAGCGTTCCACTGGTGGACCCCTTGGTTGTTGACCATCAGAGCTCCGCAGGTCTCAATGGGACACTCATTGGGATTCTCCCAGTGGCCCCAGGCTTCATACTCTCCGGCATTCTGATCCAGCCACAGCCAGTCTCCAGCCAGAAAGCGCAGACCAATCCACACATGTTCAGTGGTGTTCCTTTTGTTCAGCTCTTTCTGGATCAACATCAGCTCTGTCTCTGAGGAGATGGAGGCCAGATCTGTGTGATTCTGTCTGCAGTATTCTATCGCTTCCTCCCAAGTCTTCTCCTCTCTCACCACATGCACACTGAAGCAGAAAAATGTGAATTCATGTCCAATAAATGCATCATACCACCAGTATTTCATGACTCCATAGTTCTCATCAGGTCGGCTATTCGGTTCACCATTGTTCCAAAAGAACTTTGTCACCTCTCCACCTCCAGACCAGCGCCACTTATCTCTGTGGGTCATGTTCCTCAGAAGTCCAATCCAGATGTATTTCCAAGTGTATCCAGCCGGTTGTCGGAGAAGTTCCATGTCAGAGTAGCTGTTAACAGGGGCCAAGTCGGTGTGATTGCTCTCACAGTAAGAATGAGCTTGAGGCCAGGTTTTATTCTGCTCAACATAAACATACTTTGTTAGCGCCACAGATACAGTCCCCAGAAGCAGAAGGAGCTGCAGAGACGGACCCATGGTTGTGTGAGAGAGTAGATTTGAAAGAACTAAAATAAGATGCTCATATTTGCATAGGGACCTACAAGTCACCGGTTTTGACCCACATTTTTATTATCAACTCTGAAATACACACGTCTATATAGTTATTGATCAAACAGAAGATAGTGTCTGGATTTTTTTAGTGCTGTGTCCTGTTGCACTGAATATTATTTATGTTTATCATTGAAATATTTCTGCATTTGTTTCCTATTTGGCTAAACTCACCAGACAGGGTGTGATCCCAGGGCAAAGAAAACACTGAGTCATCTTTCACTGATGACGACACACGGATAATGTTCAGTGCTGTGTAGAGCATCACAGTTCATAACAAAGTAAACATTTAAATCACACATTCAATTCCCGGTGCATAAATAGAACTGTTTTCAACTGGATTTTAACATTGTCAGAGTAGAAGCCTGTGTCGCAATTTCAGGAAGACTAAAACCTCTGCCTACCTGTGTTTAGTCCTGACTCTGGGACCAGCAGGAGGCCAGTCCCTGTGCTCCTCAGAGTTGGTTCATATGGCACTAACATGTCACAGATGTACTTTGGTGCAAGGCCATAGAGACTTGTAACAATTAGAGCTGCTTTAAAGTATATTCTCTGAGCCACAGAAGCCATTGCAGGGACCTGAGAACTGGATTAATGTGATGATACTTCCTGGTTCCAGTCAGGACTCCAGCTGAAGTGTGTTGAATATACTGCAGCTGTTTTATATTAGAAAATAACCACACCACAACATTTCACAAGCTATTGACTTGTGCTCCTGGATATTGTAAGATATTGATAAGTCCACATCTCCATATAAAGGGTTTTAGCCGACCAGGCCTCAAGGATTCATCCTCTCGTGAATAGGGCCTGCTAGCCTCAAGTTCCGTAAGCAAGACAACTCCTGCTTCCTCCTAAGGGGCCAGTGCGTGGTGAGACCCCTGTTACCCCCTTGTGTTGCCAGCGGGGTGTCTTCACTGTCTGGACTTGCCTCCGGTGGTCTTTGCCTTTGTTCATCCCTCAAGTATTGCTTTGGAGGGACAGTTAGTGTTAGAAGAGTGTAAACAAAACCTCTAGACCCAGAACTTAATTATCAGACATGTTTCATAATAATGCAATTAGATCGATTTTTGTAACTTTAATGCAGGAATATGTATATCTTCAAGCACAGCACAGCACATTTTCTACAGATTTAAGTATAGTCACAATAATAATTCAAATATAAAACTCAATGCCCACTTGCTCCTGTGCCTCGTTCGCCGCTGAGATGAGGCTTCCTGTTTACAGGCAGTAGAAACACCTTTTACCGTTCCGATAACAACCAAAACACAAAACTAAGAAAGGGAATAGTGTCATTAATCATGCGCTGGTGAGTCTTTTTGAACAGACTGAAAACCGCAAAAGCAGTGGTTTGTACTTTCTCACACGCTCTCAATCCTGTCTCTGTCCAGCGCTGGCAAAGGACGTGAGGTCCCAGACGATCTGTGACGTCTGGTTGTCTGTGCGATACGGCTCGGCCCCTGGGTCCTCCTCCGCCACTGAGCAGGGATATTTTAACCACAGCCTCCCAATTACCCACTTGATGAACTTTGGCCTCGGAGCACCGTGGATTACCAGCCACGTTTCTACGTGGCTGGTCTTTAACACTGCCCCTTACACACATTTCTATGCCCAGTTATGGTCTTGAGGGATGCTAACATCATCCCCTTTGCTTTGTGTCATTCTGACCCCAAAGCATGAATCATGACCTCTGCTCAATTTCGCCTCTTATACTCTTGATAATCACATAATTCCCTTACACAAGATTTAATCAAAGTTAATCACGTTACTCTAAGCATAATTAACACACATGAGGAAAAACAATATTTTACGCTGGTTATTATTGATACTAAAAGACACTTTATACTAATAATACAAATCAAATACTCCCTAAAAACCCCTGATTATAATTAAACTACAAAACCTGACAATATAAAGTGCAAATCTGCGATGTTTCAGTAACAAACAAAGTTCATCTTCTTCACACAGTCGTGAGCATTCCACTGGTGGACCCCTTGGTTGTTGACCATTAGAGCTCCGCAGGTCTCAATGGGACACTCATTGGGATTCTCCCTGTGGCCCCAGGCTTCATACTCTCCTGCGTTCTGATCCAGCCACAGCCAGTCTCCAGCCAGAAAGCGCAGACCAATCCACACATGCTCAGTGGTGTTCTTTTTGTTCAGCTCTTTCTGAATCAACATCAGCTCTGTCTCTGAGGAGATGGAGGCCAGATCTGTGTGATTCTGTCTGCAGTATTCTATCGCTTCCTCCCAAGTCTTCTCTTCCCTCACCACATGCACACTGAAGCAGATAAATGTGAATGCAGATCGAATAGATACATCATACCACAGGTGGTTCATGAATCCATACTTCTCATCAGGTCGGCCATTCGGTTCACCATTGTTCCAAAAGAACTTTGTCACCTCTCCACCTCCAGACCAGCGCCACTTCTCTGTGTGGGTCTTGTTCCTCAGAAGTCCAATCCAGATGCTTTTCGAAGGGGGTCCAGTCAGTTGTCGGAGAAGTTCCATGTCAGAGTAGCTGTTAACAGGGGCCAAGTCGGTGTGATGGATCTCACAATAAGATTGAGCTTGAGGCCAGTATTTTCTTTCATCGACATAAACATACTTCGTTAGCACCAGAGATACAGTCCCCAGAAGCAGAAGGAGCTGCAGAGACGGAGCCATGGTTGTGTGAGATCTGACTTGATTTGAAAGAATTCAAATATGATGCATTGCACATGTTTGCATGCTTATGGTATGCAAATATGGCTTAATCAGTTTTAACAGATATATTCATCATAAATTCTTAAATACACATGTTATGGATCCAAATGATAGTGTATGCATTATTTTAGTACTGTGTTCTGTTGCACTGAAGATTCTTTATATAAATTATAGAAATATTTCTGCAATTGTGTCCCATTTGGCTTAAAATCACACTTACAGGGTGTGATCCCAAGGCAAAGAAAACACTGGCAAAGAGTCATCTTTCACTGACTGATGACACACGGATAATGTTCCATTGTTCCACAGATCAGTGCTGTACATTTACACAGCGGCATAAAGAGAATACAGCGACACATTTAACAAATTATTCTTTTTCAGCTTCAGGATTAATCAGGAAAAAGACACAAACCTCTCTGAACTGTGCCTAAATCACTTTGCTTGACACATTACTAATGACATATTCACTGAGGTCAAGACCATCTGACCATGACTTGTGTCATGGTGTGGATTTTGTGTTATTTTGACTTATTTTCCCTGTTTCAGTTTGACTTCCTGTTACCCCGTGTTGATTGTCTGCCCCGCCCTGATGTGTTTCACCTGTGTTTGTGTCTATTTGTACCAAGCCCCGGCGATCCAAGATGGCGCTGTTTTCAAATGAATGGTTGTGCTCAGTGGCGGGATTTGTAGCTAACCAGTTATTTCCAGGATCACCACAGACTAGTCACAAATCCAGAGCTGGGTGATCTCCTAAAAACTGTGTTGAGCCTCGAGCTGCCTTTGAATTCTTTCTTTTGGCCCGAAGAGAGGAACGTGTGGACCTCTCCACCGACCAAGACCAGGACTTTTGGGGCTTTCTGTGCAATTCCATTTCTCTGGAGTGAGGAGGACGTACAGTAATGTAGCCGAAGCAGAGCCGGGCAGAGCAGTCATTTTAAAGATGGCGGTTGAGTTTTTCCCAAAGGGTCAGATGCTGCTTCCAGTGACGACACTCGTTGACCAATCAGTGTAAGGCAGTGGGCCGACGTGACGTCATGGCACGGGTACTATGGGGATGGAACCACGGCTGAGGCAGTACGGAAAAGTACGCAAATCTCCCATATCATCCAATAGTGGAAACGCAAAATAACCGTGCTGAAGCGTACTGTACTGTACCGTATTGATACTGTGGAAAAGCGGCATAATAGATCCATGGTTTGTACCCTGTGCTTCTCTCCCCTTGTGGCTGGTCCATTGTCTTGTCTCTATCCTTGTCAGTCTGTTTTCCTGGTCTCTGGTTTTTGTTTGGATTTTGTTTTCACCTTGGACTTTTATTTAATTTTCATCATCCAACCATTGTAGTTATTTTTTGCATTCTCGCATTTTGAGTCCTCCTTCCCACCACATGACAGAATGGACCAGCCAACAAAAGGACTCAGCAGAATGTTTTTATTTTCCTTTTCCCACACCTGCTCCCAATTCGTCACCAGGTTTTTATTTATTTTTGCCTTGTTCCCTGGCTCCACTGCTGACCTCTCCCGATTCCTGGAACCACCGCTAGACATTGACCTTTGTCTGGGGTATTTGTCTCCTGTGCTCGTCTCCGTGCCACCGCTGGGCCCATGTTCCGTCCTTCCCTCCTGACCCGTCGAGAGGTAAACGATGGAGTCCTGGTCTGTATGTTCACGTCTGCCTGCTGCCCTACAATGACCTCTCCTTCCCCTCACCTGTTGCCACCTCCAGACATTGATGTCCGTCTGGGGTGGTTCTGTTCCCTGTTTGGGTCACCGCCAGGCATACAGTACGTCTCCGCCCGGGATGACCCAGTTCCCTGTGAAAGGTCATCACTGGGCTTCATCTCCTTCTCCTGATTGGTTTGGACATTGCTTCTGACTTGAAGGGTTCCAGCCTCTGGTCCCTTCACCAGACCCCCTCCACCCTCCCTGGCTCGTGCTTGGATTTTAGTTTTTTGGGACATCTGGGAGCTGTGCCTTGGAGGGGGGTACTGTCATGGTGTGAATTTTGTGTAATTATACTTGGTTTTATTTTGACTTATTTTCCCCGTGTCGTTTGACTTCCTGTTCCCCCCCTGTTGGTTGTCTGCCCCGCTCTGATGTTTCACCTGTGTTTGTATCTATTTGTACCCTGTGCTTCTCTCCCCTTGTGGCTGGTCCATTGTATTGTCTCTGTCCTTGTCAGTCTGTTTTCCTGGTTCCTGGGTTTTGTTTGGATTTTGTTTTCACCTTGGACTTTTAATTTACTGTATTTTCATCATTAAACCATTTGTTATTTTTTTTGCATTCTCACATTTTGAGTCCTCCTCCTTCCCACCACGTGACACCTTGCTAGCGGGGTGAGGAACCCGGAAACAGAATCATCCAGGGCTGGACTGGCCATCGGGCGTACCGGGCAATGCCCGAAGGGCCGATGCCCATATTTGGGCCGGTCTGTTTGCCTCACACAAAAATGTTTTGTGTGAAAAGTGTAAATCCGTTGAGAACTGTTTGAGGGGAGCGCGCGTGTCCGCGGGGCACCTGCTGTATGTACTCGAACGGGATTCCACCACCTCAGCGGCCGCAGTGTTCCCGCATCCATCGGCTCTGAGCTGGACGCGGGAGCCGCTCACAACACAGCACGGTGAGCGCGTAGCCGCAACGTGACCATGTACCCAAGACCATAAACGCGCACAGGACCATGCATGTATTTTCGTAATTTGTGCACCCAATAAATACACCGCTGCAGGAAACAGTCCGCGTCTCCCCTCTCCTCTCGAAGTGCGACTAAATTAAAGCTCGGGGACCTACATTTTCCATTGCATCAAAAGTTCATGTTTGAGCCCAAAAGTAAAATGTTGTGAACAAATTAAACAGATTTAGAGCCAGCCAATGGCTGACATTATGCATTTCAGAATTTTTTGACCAATTCTCATGTCTGTGACCACCTCCCTCACTCTGAGACATGTTTATTACTCTCTTGTAATGTAGACTATTGCACTTTATTTTGTTGTTGAAACTGTAGACATCCTGATCCTCTACAGTATTTGCTTCCACAAACCAGGGGTCGGCAACCTTGAGTGCTCCTCCAGTGGCTTCTGGAGCCTTTTCAAAAATGTCTGAAAATGGAGTGGGAGGGCAATATTTTATTTCTAGTTTGAATGTGGTTTCTGTAGGAGGAAAAACATTCTTAACGTATTTCAATGCTGTAAAAATGTGTATAAGTAATATTCAATTTCAACATTTCTGTCAACGTAGTGAGTCATATCCTGTGGCGCGGCCCAGCGCCAGGCGGCCGCTGCTGTAAACAAACTGGCGTGTGCGCACGGATCCCAAAGATAAAAAGAGAACGAGTCGATAATAAGACTGGACTAAGGACAAGACTGAACATTTGCTTTTAGTCAATGAGGAAGGACTGCTTCATGTTTGCGATGTAATAGGAAGTTTTGTTGCAACACGAGGAACAATGAAGCACTAAATACCGTTCACAGGGATTACGTGAAGGATTCTTTCATACAAAATCCGGAGCACCTTTTTCAGACTTCAAAAACCTCCGCAAAGACGAAAGAAAAGGCCATTAAGGAGATTCAGCTCCAGCAAACTTCAGCCTGTGACGTAATCGATATGAGCGGACAGTGCAGGTGTGTGACCTTTGAGCCAAAAAGCAGATTTATTTACTGTATTTCTACAGTTGCATGAAGGCAAAAAAATGAAAGTCAAAGTTAAAGCAGAGTCATCATGTGGTGCGTCATTCTCTCCAGGACACGCTGCAGTGAAAACACACATTTGATAATCATGAATGCTTATTATGTATTTGTAGCCTTTACTTAGTCATTTAGATACTAGGCTAATGTAGCTAATGTAGCTACATTGTGTAACCTTCATATAAGCTTTATACAAGGCTTTTATTTTTTTGCGGCTCCGGACAGATGTTTTTAGTTTTTTTTGTCAAATATGGCTCTTTGAACCTTTTGAGTTTGCCATCCCTGGTGCAAACAAACTGTAAAAAACGCGACAAAAACATGCCTGGGCCGGTAAGAAGGAAAAAATGCCCGGGCCGTTTTTTTGTCCCAGTCCAGCCCTGGGGTCTGTAGTCATTAAGTCCAGAGATCCGGGTCTTCTTAGAGACAGGGATGATGGTAGAGATCTTGAAGCAGGCCGAGACGTGGCAAGACTCCAGCGACGTGTTAAAGATGTCGGTGAAGACTGGGGACAGCTCGTTTGGGCAGTGTCTCAGGGAGGCTCAAGAGACATTGTGTGGGTCAGGTGCTTTGCGGAGGTGCAGCCTCCCCAAACAGAAGCAGGGTTGTTGTCAGCAAACTGCTGCTGTTGATGCTCCGTGTGCTGGAACTTAGCTGCCCTGAGTAAATTCTTGAATTGGTATTTAGCCCCTTGTAGCCGCTGCTGTCTCACTCTCTGAAGGTGGACTCTTTAAATTTTCTGAGCTGCCTCGAGCATTGAACCGGGGTTTATCGTTGTTGTAGATGATCCTGGTCCTTATTTTACAATTACAAATGTCACTAGGCCAAATGAAAAAACCCAAAACGAAAAGATAAAGGATTTAATGAGAGTAAAAAGTATATTCCAGAGAAGAAAAACACTGACAGAACAGGGAGAGAAGGGTTTAAAGACACAGAGTCAGAATCTTTTTTATTGCCAATGCCATGTAAGAAACAGGAACTAGACTAGGAAACTGCTCCGGCAAATCAGGGGATAAAAATGACTAAACAGGAAACAAACCTAAACCATGACCATAAAAGCAGCGCGTCATGTCCCTCTTCCACCACCAGAGGGCAGTATGTGCTCTTTCTCACGGGAACTAAAGTCTTTACATGATTCCTGTGTCCCTCTTTTAGCTGCTGTCTCTGGTCATGTGACTGACTGCACCAAAAGCATCGCTCTGTCCTCGTCTCCCGGCTCCATCAGCAAGGACCTCCCAGAAACCGGTCTTTTCCAGGGCCTCTCTGTGGACCCCCAGAACCTGGACCTCTCTGTGGAACCCCAGGACCTCTCTTTGGACCACACCTGCCCCCATGGCTTCTCTGTGGAACCACAGGACCAGGGCCTCCCTGTGGGCCCCCAAGACCAAGACCTCTCTGAGGGCCCCCAGAGCAGGTGGGTATCTGTGACTAAAGTTCTCTGGAAGGTTATTTCAAAGAAGGACCAGGCGCACTCCCTCGAGCCCAATGGTCTCTCTCTGGTCCCTCTCTCTCTCTCTGGTATATCTCTCTGGTCTCTCTTTCTGGTCTCTCTCTCTAGTCTCTCTTAAGTCCCTCTCGAGTCCCTCTCGAGTCTCTCTCTGGTCTCTCTGGTCTCTCTGGTCTCTCTCTGGTCTCTCTGATCTCTCTCTCTGGACTTTCTCTGGTCTCTCTCTGGTCTCTCTCTGGTCTCTCCGATCTCTCTCTGGTCTCTCTCTGGTCTCTCTCTGGTCTCTCTCTGGTTCCTCTCTGGTCTCTCTCTGTGGGCTTATCGATGCTTTGATCTCTGGAGCCACAGACAGTCTTTTCTTTTGTTCGTTTGGAGTTTGATAGAATGTTGTGACTCGTGTCGTGTTTCTGAAGATCCTGAGGCAATCCTTCATAAACATATTTACATATTATGTATCATTAATCGCAGCTATCTCCATAATTGCAGGTCGGAGCAAAGCCTGTCTGTTATTGCCTCAGGCTCTGCCATCAATCTGTACAACTTTACTGTGGAACCAGCAGCAGGAGCCAAAAGCAAGGCACGACACAGCCAGGAGCCAGACAGGGGCCCGCAGTTCCCAGCAGAGCCGTGGTCCACAAACCTGTCCCAGAACCAGGCTCTGCAGCTGGGGTCACAGGCCACACACATACCCTCTCAGGACGGAGCTGGAGAACACATAAACTCACATTTAGACGCCACCGGGGCATCTGGGGCATCTTGTCTTAGTCAACACCATGAGGGAAGTGTTGGGGCAGAGTTGGAGGTTCAATTCTTGCAGGAGGAAGTGGAAAACGCTCCCAAAAGCAGTGACAGAAACACAGGTCTGAACAGCCAGATCCCTGTCGCCACTCATCCAGAGATCAGCCCAGACCAAGCCCAGAATCATGACTTTTCTCTGGGAAGCAAACGCACGGACGCCCTTCTGAGTCATGGAGGTCCAGCCAGTCTTCGGCAAATGTGCACCCAGAAGCAAGCCCCTCTGCCTGGATGTGAAAGCGCAGACTCAGCCTCTTCCACAGGGACCTGGATCCCCACGGGACAGTCCTACTCTAACCCCACCCCACACAGGTAAACAGGATTAAAGCTGGGGTCTGTAACTTTAGTCTCATAAATAATACATGTTTAAAGCTGGGGTCTGTAACTTTAGTCTCATAAGCACCAGCAGCTGCCCCCACTCTCTGCAACTCACTCCACAACCATCAAGAACTCCGACTCACTACAGAACTTCTCAAAAAACCATTGTTTTACCCTGCCTTTGCTTAATTTAGTCTTCAAGGTTTATTCTTGTATGTTTTGCAGAGCGTCGTCCTCATAGAGAGCAGGAATGGGGTTGTGTCCTGTTAGCGATGGAGACTAACATTTGTGTCTTACTGCAGGAAACATATTGTCCGAAACATTGAGAAGCCATCCATGACGGACCCTCTGAATAGTTTGATTAAAAATGCCCAGTGGTTGTGTAGAGCAGAACTTGGCAGCTGTCACTTTCCCTCTCATTTCCTCTCTTTCTGGATCAACCAACGGCTGGGAATCAGTAGGGGTGCAGCGCAAGGTGGATGCTGACCCAATCCATAATGACAGGTAAAAGCAAATACCAAGGTCTTTAAACACACTACACTACACAAAAGTAAACGTACGGTATGAGGTATTACTGTTAATGCTTGAATTCATTTAGTCTTATTTCTAGAATACTGTTGCTTTATGTTCTTGTATCTTTTAAAAACAAGATTGACCCTTTGGAAAATCATGCTTTAAGGATTGTCAAAATGTGCTAGATTTGAGCTATATTTGACTCTATTTTTCTGCACTAGGCCTTAGAATGCTATTCAGAGTGACGACTGAGTGTGATGACACACCATTTTCCTTTATGGAATTTGTACCAACGGGCGTTAGCTTCGTGCCGTAACAGGCGTAAGATGATGAACTCAAGCTACGCAATGACATGAGGCTCACATGTTTGTTAGTAGTCTGTAATATTATAGGGTCTGCTCTACCATGGGTTTGATACCACCTCCAGGCATTTCTGTGTGGAGTTTGATACTGTTCTCCCGATGTCTGTGTAAGTTTCTCCAGGTGCTCCGGGGGCAACTTAACACTATAACAGTACAATAGTATGAATGTTAATGATGAGTGGACGGGTGGTCCGAGGCTTCAACGCACTCAGTGAATGTAAATGTTCTCTACTCCAAACACACAGAAGCGTTTGGATAACCGTGTGTGAAATGTTCTTTAATGATTTACTTACTTTCAGGATTTGGAAATCAGTTGGCGTTCAGACGTGCTGATGTGTTCCTCCCCCCCATACCTTGGAATCGGCCCAAGCATAATGGTACGGTTTAACTAAACACCAGATTTGTGCCAGGGGTTAAATAACATGAAAATGTTGTGAGCATTCAAAAACTGGAATAGTGAGGTCGCTTCTGCTGAAAACCACACATTTCACTCTACAATAAACTGATAGAACTGGTGCGGCTGTACAGTGCAAACTGTAGTTGTGTTCCTGTAGGCAAGACACTTGAATCCCACCCAGAGGCTACCTGCTCTCTCGCCTCTTACACACTCAAGTGTCCGCAGCACTTCTGAGTGTTATGGATATTAGTTGTGTCAAAGTAAGCAGTACTGCAGGGCTGCTCTGTGCACCTTTTTAGTAAACTTTTAACAACTTTTTAGCGCGTTTTTATTGTTCAGTTTTTTAATATATCTGAGTGTTTTATCTTTTTAATTCAGTGGTTTCAGCAAATAGCACTTAGTCCCGACTGAAACCCACTAGTAGCACAGAGGCTAACACAAGCTAACGAGGACATGGAAAGTGACAATGAAATTGGCTCAAACATGCACAATATTAGTCGCCTCACCTTGGAGCTCCGTGAGAGCGACCGTGCCACCATTGCAGAACTACGAAAAGAAGTCCTTCGTCTCACCGCAGAGTTGAATGAGAAACAATCTCTAGTGTCCAAACTTTTTGAAGTCGCTGGCGGGCAGCATTCACGGCTGATGTCACTGAGCGCTGCATATTGTGACACTGTCGTGTGGGAGAGATCCGTCAGCTCCGGACCCTCCTGTTCTACACCTAAGCGCCCGCCTACGAATAACGAGCCCGCGGATTCCGAGGAGCCATCCTGCGCCGTGGCCCATGTCCTGAGTCTGGCAAACCGCTATGCAGCCCTCTCCACTGACATCCCGGCCCCCTCAGCAGAATCCCTGGACACTGCAGCAAACTCTACTGCTCGAGGATCCAAGTCCACTGCGAGGAAAACGCTCCTAAAGGAAGCAGTCCTCAGGCGAAAGAGCGGTCCACCAGCCATGTTGACCCCAGTGCAGCAGCCTCAGACTGGGGTAGCGAGCCATCATCACCACCGCTCACCTCCACCGGGTCAGCAGCAGCGCCCAGAGCCAGCCCCTCTCACCGCTCCAGCGTCCCCGAGCACACAGCGTGGGTCGCCTGTAGCTGAGAGTCAGCACCCCCGCTCCTCCTCTCCATGTGTTCAGCGGCGCTCAGGCTCCGGTCCTGCTTCGGGTGAACCCGCTGGTTCCGTCCACCGAGCTCCTTCTCCGAGGCCACTCTTCGCCCCGACCACTCTGATTATTGGAGATTCCATCGTGAGACACGTCCGCTTCTTCAACGCGGTCACTCGCTGTATTCCCGGAGCTACTGTACCAGACCTGCTCATACGTCTCCCTCCTCTGCTTCAGTCCCTGCCTGATACCGTTTCCAAGGTAGTCGTGCATGTGGGAATTAACGACATGAAACTTCAGCAGTCAGAAGTCACTAAGAAACATTTTATGGATCTGTTCCACCTCCTTCAATCCTCCGGACTATCTGTTTTTATCTCTGGTCCAATCCAGACTGTAAACAGAGGTGACTGCCTCTACAGTCGTGTTTTGGCGCTGCATATGTGGCTCCAGGCTACATGCAGCTCTTTTAACTTTGTCTTTTGTTCAGCGTTCCCCGAGGGGGGCGTGTGAATAACTTTGCCCTTTTCTGGAAACATTAATCGACTCTGACGTTATTTTTAAAACTTGCTATGCTTAATGTCCAGATCTCTATGTAACAAATCATTTTTAATTAATAATTTTATCACTTCTTATGATCTTGATTTTATGCTTATGGCTGAAACATGGCTGGACCAAAATACAGGAAATGCAGTTCTAATAGAAGCAACACCACCCAATTTTAAATTCGAATCCGAAATACGAGAAAACAAAAGGGGGGGAGGCATAGCTGCAGTTTTTAGAGAGCACTTTGTCTCCCATAGAATGCCCCTTGGAAATTTTTCATCGTTTGAGTATATTTCTTTTAAAATGGAACAAAAGCAATCTTCTACTCTTTTCATTGTCCTGTACAGGCCACCACAGTCATGTTGCGATTTTATTGACCATTTTACTGAACTACTTTCATTCGTGTGCACAGATTTTGATAGTTTAGTTATTACAGGTGATTTTAATGTACATGTTGATAATGTTGATGACAGAAATGCAAAGGAGCTGGCTTCTGTATTTGAGACCTTTGGTTTCATTCAGCACGTGAGTGGCCCCACCCACAGCAGGGGGCACACTCTTGACCTGCTAATTACAAAGGGGGTTAATGTATCAAATGTTAATGTAGTTGATGTTGCTTTGTCAGATCATTTCTGTGTATTTTTTGACATGTGTTTTGCTAGCAAACCACCAGCTGAATTTACAATTGTTAGAAGAAGACACATACATGAAAACACAAGTGAACTGTTCATGGGAATGCTAAATTTTGAGAAAACTCCATGCTCTACTGTTGATGAATTGTATAACTCTGTCACCACCAGTGTTCTGACTGTTCTGGACGCCATTGCTCCTGTGACGGTTAAAATAGTTACCAGTAAGAAAAAGGCCCCATGGACTAAGGCAGACTCGGTTAGGGCACAGAAGCAAGAGTGCCGGAGGGCCGAACGGAAGTGGCGAAAGTCCAATTTCCAGGGCGATTATGAAATCTTTAAAGATGAGTTGGGTGAATTTAACCGGGTTCTACGTAGAACAAGAGAAATGTATTTTTCTGACATTATTGGAGGTTGCAGTAACAATTTTGTGTTATGTTTTCAACAGTTGGTAGATTAACGAACCCCCCTGTAAAGTTGCCCCTAGAATTTTCCTCTAAATCTAGGTGTAATGAGTTCGCACAGTTTTTCGATGACAAAGTACAAGGAATCAAAAACACTATCACCTCCACAGCACGTATAACAATGCAACAGCCAGAGAAGCTTTTTGAGCTAACTCACTTTGCACCTGTGGATACTGAAACTGTCAAAAAGATAATCATGAGTCTGAGCTCCTCCACATGTAGCCTGGATAAATTTCTGAAGTCCGTCCTGAGCAGTTTGTTACCTTCACTGACACAAATAGTAAACATGTCTCTGTCGTCAGGAACATTTCCTATGGCCCTAAAAACAGCAGTCATAAGACCTCTCCTAAAAAAGAGCAGTCTGGATCCTGCGGGACTTCAAAATTATCGCCCCATATCGAATCTGCCATTTATTGGAAAAATTCTTGAAAAAGTGGCCTCCCAACAACTTACTGAATTTTTAACAATGAATAATTCTTTTGATATGTTCCAGTCTGGGTTTAGACCCCACCACAGCACTGAGACCCGCTCTAGTGAAGGTAACAAACGACATTCGACTTCACACTGATGCAGGTAAAGTCACAGTTTTGGTCATGTTAGATCTTAGTGCCGCGTTCGACACTGTCGACCATGAGATCCTCATGCAGAGACTGGAGGACTGGGTTGGTGTCACTGGCACAGCCCTAGACTGGTTTAGGTCTTACCTGGAGGATAGGAAGTACTCTGTGGAGATTGGAGACTGCGTCTCAGATGATGTGGCCCTGACCTGTGGTGTACCACAGGGGTCGATCCTGGGACCTCTCCTATTTAATCTCTACATGCTGCCGTTAGGTCAGTTAATACAAAGAAACAAAGTGTCCTACCACAATTACGCTGACGACACTCAGATCTATGTCTCACTGACTGCAGGAGAACATGGACCACTGGATTTGCTCCTTCACTGTATCCAACAGATCAGTGACTGGATGCAAAATAATTTCCTC